GCCCCCGCGGCAGCCGGCGCGCCTTTGTTTCTCTTTCATGCCGGCAGCCTCCTTCGAGATGCTGGGATACGCCAGGCCCGGTCAGAGCAGCGACTGCTGGAATGGAATCATCGTTTTGTCTCTGACGGCGTCTGAGTTCCTCGGACATGAACGCATTCGTTCTCCCAAGCTGAGGCACACTTTCTGTTCTCTTGCTTTTCACCGTTTAGTTTCTACATTTGCCCACTTAAAAAACGGACACGTTGTTTATATTGTACATACACATGGTCATTTTTTTTTACAGCAGTTTTAATTTTCGATGTTGGCCTCGTTCTTCTATCCGCACGCACCCCCACCTGCCTTAGCTTAAGAAATGGTTCTTCCATGTTTTTCTCCATACTCCCAAAATTACATACAAGGCACACAGATACATGCAGTTGTACATGTACAGCCATATAGTAGCTTTTGGGACTCTGGTTATTTTTAAAAATGGGATTATTTCATACACACTTTTCTGTTTTTTACTCAAAAAATGTCTTTTGAAACCTGTTCGGTTAATCCTGTGGAACTCTAACTTTTTGCTTGGGGTGGATGTACCTGGGGTGTATCAGGCTACTGCTCCATTGAGGACAGTGGGTGTGTGTTCAGGGGCTCAGGGCTTGGAATCCCAGGGTAGGGACTTTGTGGGTGAAGGCTGTAAGTGTGAGAGTTCCTTTTTCCCTCTCACACCAATAATAAGTGTTGCAGTTTTTTACATAATCATTGCCAGCCGGCAGAGTGTTACTGGCATCTTGCATTTCTGGGCATGGTGTATTCCAGCATCTCATGTCAGTCAAATCCACTGGAATTGCTGATGGGTCTACAGGAGGGAGAAATGAGGGGCTTTCCTCTCCAGGTGCCTCCTGTTTCCAGGTACCTCTGTTTCCTAGTGGTCAAGGTCACCAGCAGGGAGCTTATCCCAGCACCCCCTGCACCCACTCCCCAGCTGCATTATTCGTTCCCTCTGCAGTGCTTAGGAAGCCAGGTCCCATGTTTCACGTTTGAATGGACAGGGATGCAGCACTCACCAAGAGGAGGCAACATTCACAGGGGCCTAGGAATGGGCACAGGCCAGTGTCCCAGGACGGCCTACACATGCCATCTTTCAGGTCCTTTCATGCTGTTCCATTACATCCAGCTCCCACATGCAATAAAGTGGGTCCCCTTTTTCCATTTAAGAATGAAAATACTGTCACCCTTTTCAGAAAGGTATTGCATAGCATTGTGTGTCTGTTTCTCTTTGATGCATAGCCTTAGTGCCTTCAAATAACAAAAAAGGAATATTATGTCTCACATTTCTGGTTTCAGCTAGGCAGTTTGCACTTAGGACTTTCCTGCTTGTGGTCACTGCAGATGGTGACTGGCATTGTCTTAAAGGCTTCCTCCCTCAGCATCTTTGGTGGTTGATGCTGACTCTTGGCCAGGACCACATTTGGGGCTGTGACAGCACACCTGCAAGTGACCTCTCCATCCAGCCGGGCTTCCTTGAAGCATGGCACCAAGGTGACCTCCCAAGAGGAGGTGAGTGTGCATGGTGTTTTAAGATCTAGCCTCAGAAGTCATGTAGTGTCACTCCTGCCAGCTTCCATGGGTCAGGGCAGTCACAGAGGTCTGCTAGGCTCAAGGGGAGGGGACATGGCCCAGCCCTTCAATAGGAGTGGTTCAAGGTCAGCCATAAGGAGAACAGATGGGACGGACATGCTGCAGTGGGTTAGGGCCTAAGTCTCCCAGGCACAGCGTCCCCTCCCAGGTGGTAGGCTCCTAGAATACTGGGCAGGAGGGCTGGCGAGCCAGCCACGATGCTGCTGCTACCTAGTCCAAGGCCATCATGGCCACCCTCAATCCCCTCACCCTCAGCTCTTCAGCTGGACTGAGCAGGTTACTGGTTGAGTGACCCAGGCCTTCTTCACTCAGCAGTTTGAACTTCTACTGTTCCTATTCTTACTAGGTCAAGACTGCTGTAGTCCCCGGACACAGGTGGATGCCCCACCAGTGCCCAGCCCTGATGCATAGTTGGCCCTAGAAGCTCAGGATAATAAGATAATGCTGGTCCTGGGCCTAAGGAGCACCCCCCCCCGCCATGTGACTGGGTGGTGGCTGTTCCTTCCAGATCAGTGGCAACCTTACTGTGTCTGCTGTGAGCATCTCTGGTTTAGGGTATGGACCATTCAGGAGGGAGAACCCCTAGGTTCTCTGGCCCTTGTGTTCTAGCCATAGGGCCCACACATGAGTGGATTCAGGCTTTGGGGGCCCAAAGCTTGTAGAAATTTGGGAGCTGTGTTGAGGATTCCCAAGACCATCCCTGGATTCAGTGATATACTAGGACTCAGAATTCAGCACATGTAATTAATGCTCATAACCAAGATTCAAGGGGAAGGATATTAATCAAAATCAGCAAAGGGAAGTTTTGGGGCAAAATCAGAGGAAAGCAGGCGCCAACTTCGAGTCCTCTCCCTGAGAAGACACACTCCACCCCCAGCAACAAGTTGCAACAATGTGTGTGAAGTGCCTGCCACCAGGGCAGCTCACCAGAGACTCGGTGCCCAGGCTTTCATTGGGGCTGGTCGTGCAGGCACCCTCTGCTCACGATGTACCCAGACTCCCAGAAGCAGAGCAGGAGTTCAGCATAAACCATGTTTGTCTGTACAAAGAGTTTCGATTCAATGAGCCCCTCTTAATGCGGGATGGGAGGAGCCCTCCTGCAACCTGGGTTCCCAGACACCAGCAGCTCTGCAAACATCTGAAGGAGAGAAGTTGCAGGGCCCTCTTTAGGAAACAAGCTAAAATCATATTCCCAAAATTAAGTTAACAGAGTAGGAAAAGAATCCTAACATGCAACACAGGTGTTTAAAGTTGACAAGTATCACAGAGATCACAAAACACAGGAAACCAATGCAATGTCATGAATTAACTTCCTGAACGTTTCTCTAACGTTTCCCCTATGCTTTTTGGATGCAAAATCTGATGGCCTCTTAAGATGACGACACTTTTATGATGTCATCTATATAAAGAGGGAAGATAATTTAGTTTCTCCTCTAACGTTCAATCAAACTTTATTATTTATAGCTTTGAAAGTTGTTTTCAGGTCACAATTTCTTTTTCATTTTTTTTCAGGTCACAATTTCTTTAGCTAATATCGTGTACATTTTTAGAGTTGTTAAATTTGAGAAAACCTCTATCAAATTTCTTTTACATGCGAGTCCTAAGATTTCAGGGCCTTTGGGGGCTTCTTGTCTGTGACTAACTAATCTTAGATGTTTTTTGAATTGACGACACTCATTAGCCAATTCCATCCACCCAATATGTGGTGAAAATCAGCGTGGGGGTGGGGGTTGTTCCTGGAAGCCATTTCTACACCAGAATGCAAGCAATAGCTTAACCACACCAGGAAGTGCCTGTTCCCACGGAACCTGAACTAAATATACTCCCAACTCGGCTTCCCTAAGTGGGTCTCAGGACGCCCTCTCCCATTCCACGTGGGAGGGGAGGAAATGCCTGAAAGCGGGTTGCAGTGGGAAGTGACAGCCTTAATTGACTGTGATTAAATGATTTACTTTTGCAAATCGTACAAAATGTGCAACCTGGGGAACACTTTGCTGGGGCCCTGGCCTGGAAGGGTCCTGAGCTAAGACTCATGGCTTCACAGTGAATATGTCCCTGGACCCTGCGGCCCCTAGAGCAGCACAGATGCATCTCAGCAGTGTCCTATCCTGAGAGGAGCGAGCTGCCAGTTGGCAGAGTAGCAGGGCCTTCAACAGACTGTCACCATTCCATTAGGCTGATGGGAACTTGCTCAGTGAGTCCCAGGGTCACGAGCTCATTGCCGCAGGCCATCAGCTCTAAGATGCGTCCTTGGTGTGCAGCCCTGTCCAATGGGAGATCAGGCATTCAGTGAGTCTGAGATTCAGGTGCCGGCAGAGGAACTGCAGGCAGGGAGGGCAAAGCCATGTCTAGAATAGGGGTCGGTTCAGGGAAGAAAAATAACTGTCCTTGGCAGGTGGGAGGGGGTCCGGGGTTGGGTCTCTGCTGCTGCAGGTTGGGTATTTGCAGTGGCAGTGGGAGGACCCCTGCAGACCACCACCTGCCACTGCAGCCACTCTTTTCATGGGTCTTCGCATGAGCAAAGCTTTGATGTCTTTGCCTACAAAGGCCGAAACTGGGGCCCCTTCAAAGGCAGTTACTACTGCCTAACCCTCCCATGCAGCTGTCACACTCTCCTGTTTCTTTGCACGTCTCTGTTGAAAACAACATTTTAGATGCTTTATTACAGCAACTCTGGATCGTGATTAGCCTGTCCTTCTTGGGCTTCTTGATCTTGCTGTTTTGTTACTTTATTAGTCCAGTGGCTTGTCGGGGCCCATTTGGTGAGGTCCGTTCCTCCACAGTGTGCAGCTTCTGCTGTCACTACTCGGTCCCCCCTCCCTCCTAGTGCTTACGTTTAAGCCTGGATTCCTCAAAGTGGCATTGGAGTCAACATAGCTTAGGGTTTAGCCACCAACTGAGCCAGTGAGGTGCCATCCTTTGCTGATGAATTAGTGTGCAGTGGGGGGACACCTCCAAGTCTGTCCCATGTCCAGCCAGTGTAGTAGGCTGGAGTATGCCCCAAAAGGTGTCCAGGTCCTGATTCCTAATGGCTGTGGATGTTACCTCATACAGCAAAAGGAACTTTGCAGAAATGATTAAGCTGAGGATCTTGAGAAGGAGAGAGTGTGCTGGAGTATCCAGGTGGGTCCTAACTGTAATCATGAGTATCCTTTTAAGGTGGAAGCGGAGGGATGCTTGGTTACAAAAAAAGGGAAGGAGAGGTGACCTTGGAGGCATGCAGCCTCAAGCCAAGGAATGCTGGACGCTGGACGCGGCAAGGAATGAATTCTCCCCTGGAACCTCCGGAAGGAACTATTCTGGCTAACACCTTAGTTTTAGCCCATGAGACTCTGTGGATTTCTGGCCTTTGGAACTGGAAGAGAATAAATGTCTGCTGTTTTAAGCCTTCACGTTTGTGGTCATGTGTTTGATCTTTTCCATAATTTTTCACCACTGAGGTCTCCACTGTCATCTGCAACACCACACTCAGTGTCCAGAGAGAGGCAGCCTGCTCAGCCATGCACCCTGGGCAGGGTCTCACCCTGGGCAGGGTCTGGGGGAGCTGGAGGCAGGTGGGAGCCTGCTCCTCCCAGAGTGATGCCCCTGACCCACGGGTGGGTGCCAGGGGGTGGGAGGGAGGCTTTGTCTTCTGAGCTCATCCTTCCCAGGCCCCCTCTGTCCTGTGGCTGGAGCCAGGGTAAAGGGTGCCCAGTGCTCTTGGCCGTACCCTCTTGGAGCAGAACTGTCACAATGCAGAACTCAGGGTAGGAGGGAGCAGGTTCCCGCTCTTCTTACCAAGACTTATTAGACCTCATGAGTCAATGGTACATGCACTTTGGCCAGTCCCCAGAGTGAGAGGGTCATTTCCGGAAGTCCTGCTGCTGCCCGGCGTCTCAAGTCCAAGGCTGGTGCAGGAACTCTGCCACTTCCACTATTTTTCTGGCCAAAACAAGGCACAGGGTCAGTTCAGAGTCCACAGACTGAGACCTGGACCAACCTGTTGGGGGTGGGCAACTGTTGGCAGCCATCTGTGCCCCAGGGGAGGCCACTGCCAGGTTCCTCCAGCGAGGAGAAAGGAGCTGCTTCTGCCTGGAAGGGGGCTCATGGGAGTTTGGGAACCCAAGATACAAGTGGATCTGTCCGCAGTTCCCACCCCAGGTCCCAGGGCCGGCTCCACCCTGGGACAGTGCACTTGCCATCTCCTTTGTATCCCAGCCTCTTTCATGATCCGCTCCGGCATTCCCTTCAGCACAGGAGGCTGTGCCAGTTTTCTACTGCTGTGTAGTAGGTTGCCACATAGTGGCTTAATGCTACATCTGCTTATTAACTCAGAGCCCTACAGGTGATGAGTGTGGGCGTGGCACGGGGACGCGGGACTTGAAGACGTTGGATGTGACCTCCTTTCGGCTGAAGAGCTTTCTTTGGTATTTTTTGTAAGGTGGGTCTGCTGGCAACAGGTGCTCTCACTGTTTACCCTGGATTGTCTTTATTTCACCTTGATTTCCAGAAGATCATTTTCCAGGCTGTTGGAATCTTGAGTTTTTAAATGACTTGAGTCTGTCATTCCATTTTCTCCAGGCCTCCCTTGTTTCTGATGAGACGTTAGGTGTTGATTTTATGAGATTCTCTTATATGTGATGGGTTATTTCAATCTTGTGACTTTGAGGTTTTCTCATCGTCTTTCAGTATTTTGGCTATGATGTGTCTGGTCCTGGGGCTCCTCACGTGCCCTGCCTCACGGCCCCCCAGCAATGGAGAATCTTCCTTGAGTGGATCTCTTTTGAGCTTTGCAACCCCTCCTCCAGGAAGAGGCCTGTCCTTCCGTGGGATCACCGGATTCAGCCAGGCTTGCCCAGGATGGTCTCTCTTGCACATCAGCTGTGCTGTGTAACATAACACAACCATGGGTGTACAAGCCATTCTATTCACAGTCCTGCAGTTACGCAGGGCAGGGATACCGGGGCGGGATAGAACTCTGCCTGCCACAGTCGCCCTCTGCCCTCCCGGGAGCGTCTGAGTTGGAAGCTAGCTGCCCTGAGCCTGTCATTGTTTGGGGTAAGATCTCTAGCTCTGTCACCAATGCTCTACTCCTAATCCTTAGAATGAGAATTATTTCCTGCGGACAGGAACTGTTAAAATTTTCATTATTTCCATTAAATTAAGTGCGGTTGCTCCCCAGTCCCCTGGAACACTGCTTTCAGAGGGGCCCTCCGACACGCACACAGCACTGGTGAGAACTCCCCACCAGAGGTCACCGTGCCACATGGAAGCAGTCGGGGAAGGGACATGCAAACCCCAGGAGAACCTGCTGGTTACCAAGTGGAAACTGCAGTGAACTGACCCGCAGAAAGCAAACATAATGTGAAGTAAATAATCATAAGGGAAGAAATGACACAGCTTACAGCAACTGCACAGAGCCGTCCCATTGGAAGACAGACTGCATGAAACAAGGAAGCCCTTTACATGTTCTGAAGTATAAACCTAGCTGTGGCCCTTGAGGTGGCTCCCCTATCCCCAGGCCTCCTGAGGTCTCCCTGCTGCCTGCCCTATCCTGTTCCCTGAGGTTGGGGCCCTGAATGTGGTGCCTTGTCCAGGGCGCCTGTCCCCCACGTGACAATGACACTCCCTGCCACCCCCACAGCAGGGCCACTTTTTGGCTCCAGGCTCACCCCAACGTGCTGGCTGGCTTACCGCACGCCCCCAGGCTCTGACCCACCTCGGTCTCTGCAGTCCAGCTCCTGCAGCTACTGGGCCAGAAGCACCCCTCCTGCAGGGCAGCCCAGACATGCCCTCTCCTGACCCCTTCAGATGATGTGCTGTGCCTCGTCACCCAGCCCCATAACCTGGCAGGAGTAGGTGGGGTTGCTGCGGTGGGTGGCCAGTGGGTGGCCAGGTGGGTGGGTGGGGATGCCTGAATCTCGTGCTGCCTCTCCCTGCAAGTGTGCTGTGCTCGGCTGGGGTGAAGAAGCTTCTGTCCTTTAAGAGTGGCTTCCTGGAGGGACTCCGAGCCTGGGGCAGGTCTGGGATCCCCTCGTCCTTCGGCCCTCAGGGGGCCAGGGATCAGAGGTGAGGCACTCATGCTCTGGGCTAGGCTCTGCTGGGCCCTGGCTCTGAAGCCCCGGAATGTGGCTGAGGCGTGGGGGTAGGGGCAGCCGCTGACCTCACAATGGCGGGGTCTACTGTCCCTGGCCAGCCCACTGGCTGTCGGCAGCTGCCGCCCCCCACTGCCGGGCATGTCCCTCCTCAGCAGCTATGAGGGCCTGCGGCAGGAGATCCAGCGGCTGGCTCAGGAGAACGAAGAGCTGCGGAGGCTGGTGCAGCTCATCCAGGAGAACCAGGAACTGAAGCTGGTGCTCAGGAACCGGGGCAGCAGCCTGGGCTTCTGCAGCTCTGGGCTCCTGGCTGAGATGGCCACTAGCCCCCGGTTGCCCCGGCGCATGACCATCAAGTTCAAGGATGCTGAAAGAGGTGAGCGTGCCAGGCCCACCAGGGCTCCTCTCAGAGGCCCACAAGCTCCACTCATCCAGCCAAGGCCGTGAAGAGCAGGGGAAATCCCCTGCTGTCCTGGCCCGTGTCCTGTCCAGTGCTGACAGGTGTATGGAGGAAGGGGGAGAGGCGGGGTGGGGGGTCCCTGAAGGGGTGCAGCAGGGAGAAGGGGATATCGCTGAAAATGTGGCGGAGCCCTGAGGCTGCCCTTCAACCCCCCAGGGCACAGAGGGTGCTGCCTGTCAGTGGGGAGCCCTGTTGCAGCCTGGGGGGCAGCACCCTCTCCTCCTAGGACCAAGCAGGCTTCAATGGCCAGCAAGGGTCAAGGAAGCAAGGAAGCCTGGGGTGGGATGGGGGCCAGGGCATAGATGGTGCTGTGCCCCTGCCTGTCTGGCCATCTGTCGGCGCCATCCGTTAGGTGAAGCAGTCTCCTTCACCTGCTGTTCCTCTGCTTGGGAAGCCCCCTACTCCCCACTGTTCCTTTTCCAGAACCCCTCACAGCTCGCGCCCGCCTCAGGCCTGGGCAGGCACACGGGCAGCTTTCTGACCACAGGGAAACAGGCTGGGGAGGGGCAGCCAACCGCCGCTAAGTCGCGGGACTGACCGCGGCCCCTGGCCACCCGGGAGGGTGGTGTGGAGGAGCCCCTGCCCACGGCGCCCACGCGCAGGCCGGGAGTTGGGGGGGGGTACTCCAGGGCGCGCGCC